TGACCACACACAAGAAAGAATACAGACTTTACAGAATCTGTTTAGAAAAGCCATTAACAATGAACTCTGATGAGGGGAAAATCTGATTTCCAGAGTTGCTGTATTATTTAAAATGTTCAGTACTCAACAAAAAAAATGTGAGATATGAAAAGAAGAGTATGGGCCACACCCAAGAAAAAAACCGTGAACAGTCACTGACACTGGACTTAATAGACGAAGAACTGGAAAAATCCTAGAAACAAAACATTAAGGACAAAATTTAGAGACTCTCCTGAAGGTTGCTGACAAATGCATCTGAGGCAGAGTGTGGCTTCAAGTCAAGACTGCAGTCTTAGTTTTGACTTGTACCTCTCCAGGGGCAACTTAAGGTTTGTATACAAAACTCATTTGACATAACTCATAGGGGATGGTTTTACTCCCACTGCAATCTTTGGAAAAGCAATAAACCAAATTCTCCAATTCAAGTGAGTGTTTACTTTCCTATGCTAATCTCAAAGAAACAATAGAGCTGAAGATGAAAAAAGAAATGTGTTTCTTGAGGAATAAAAGGTTTAACTTAGATATGGTGGGCTGTGGTCAGTTGTTAGGTCAGCATTAACCTTCTGCAATTCATTGACAAGAAAATACTGTGACATAGTGCTACCTCAGTCTGAAGAAACTTAACAATAAAAAAAATTAAATCTCTATAAGAAACCCAAAGTACAAAGTTGACTAAATTTTACCCTTCCTCCCACGTTAATTTAAAGAAATCAAGGGCTGGCAATAAGATAATCACACTTTTGCTTTTAGGATCAGAAATTAGGATAAACATAAGGTTACTGATTTACTTCTCTTTTATAAAGCTCATTGTTACATTGATTCTCTCCAAAACACTGTTACTGTGTCATATATATATATATGAACATATATATGTTATATATACATGTGTATATAATCACTTTTTAACATTAAAAAATTTTTTTTTGGTACTGGGGATTGAACTCAGGTCCTTGTGCTTGCAAGGCAGGCGGTGGCACCACTGAGCTAAATCCCCGGCCCCTAAAAATTTTTAAAAGAAACAAATCGCTTAAAAATATAATGGGAAAATAACAATAGGATACACACTCAAAACTGTATCACTATCTTTTTTTTTTTTCCCATCCAGTATCGGGGATCAAACTCAGGACCTTGCGCTTACAAGGCAAGTGTGGCTCCACTGATCTAAATCCTCAGCCCTATCACTATCTTCTTTTAAGAGCATTATTGTATCCATAAAACTTCAAACTGAAGAGTAAACTGAACAGTTCCTATCCTTGATCCTCAGAAAACGATGGTACAAGAAAAAATGGGGGATTAAATCTGTACTCAGGACATGTTAGGAAAACAAGACTGTAACAATTTCAAAAAGCAAGTATAATGAATAAAAATACTGGGGCTTGTGCCCATGGAAGAGAAAAGCTCATGTGAGCAGCCTCTACTCGTCATGACAGATAATCACAGATGAGGAAAACTACCCCACTGTCCAGACTCCCAAACTAACCTGTGATAATGAGACATTCATTGTGATCCAGCACCTCAGTGAACAGTCGTGCAACAATCAACTCAGGGTTGATTAGAAAGCGGATTTCTTCTTGTACAAGTCCTGCACTGGTTACACCACCTCCAACAAAACGGTTTGCGAAATCCACCTATTTGGGGAAATGCGGCACGTTAAATGATGGCCTACAACGCATATATGTGTGATAAAGAACCACACATCCTCTATGCTCTCAGCTTTTCACATGGAAGTCAGCCCCCACTTAGTAATCTCCCAGGGAGTATAATGACAGCTGCTTGTTCTCTTTCCATCTCTTGACAGCACCTCTGCACACTTCTGTGCATCCCAAAACTGCATAAGGAATGTGGAAAATGGAGGTGTTAGGCAAAATCTTATGTACTATACTCTAGTTTATAACCCTTATTTGTGCCCCCAAACCATAAATCAAGGAAGGTCTTTACCTGGAAAGGTTTCAAGGTCATTTCCCCACACTCCTCAGCCTCCCTTTACAGATTTAAAATGGCTTTAAAACAATCATATCTTTCTTATATAAGATGGTAAACAAACACTTGTTCAAAGAACTGAAGTTTAGTAGTTGACTGCATAGGGTAACCTATTTTTTTTCTGTGGGAGAATAAAGGAATGGAATCTTTTTCCTAAATTCAACTCTAAACTGCATGAATATTACTAAACACTTCAAAATGATATACCCAGTAAAAAAGGAAGAAAAATAAAACCCAGTATAAAGAACAAAGATTCAACTAAATTGCCTCACACATGGTAGGCAAGTGCTCTAGCACTGAGCTACAGCCCGAGTCCCACATAAACTTTATGTAGAGCATTATGACAAGTCCCTGGTTCCTATGGAAAAAGAACTGTCATACAATCTTCACAAGAATGCACACTCAGCCTGACAATATTATTTGTTTATGTAAGAAATGGTGTCCATCTTTGTCTTAGATTACTGTAAAGATTTAGATTACACAAATTCACACTGTTTGTGTACATTCATAGTCACACACACAAGAAAAATGGAATTAAGTAGTGTAAGAGATTCGTTTTCAAACTATCTTTTAAAACTTGTTCATATTCTCTCAAGTAATTGATACTAAATGATTATCTGAAGGCAATTTTATAAGAGTAGAATAAGAATCTGAATCTTCTATTTTAATGTGAAAATATAGGTAGACATGCATAGAAAGCAAAATTGTCCCTTTTCTCACCACTAAAAAGCTAGAAAATGAAGCATACCACTGACAGATTTTTTTTTAACAGTGAACCACATATCAGTTTATTGGCATCATTAATTTATGAACAAGTTAGGTATTTTTCCCCCCACAAAGTGACACTGATTTCAATCTGCCATAACATGTGCCCACACATCTTCATGGGAAAATGTAGCATTTCAAGCTTTAATCAGGG